TGTCAAGGCACTGGACCCTTGCAGAGCAGTCATCTGCTGCAAGTCTATCTTCTTGCTTGGACTGTCTGTTGCTTAAAGGTATAGACTTATCCTAATCATTACAGTATCCCAATCGCCTAGAACAGGGTCTGACATTAGTAATGCTAGCTTGCTGGATGATGGCTAGTAATGATTACTCAAATGTTTGTTGAATGAATGAATGGTTGCTGTCTGGTCATTATTAAGGAAATGCATAAACACTAGGCGCTCATTGCTGAATAAATGAATGAGATATTAAGTTCTCTATACATGTTGGTTGGCTGGCTGGATGAATTAACAGTAGCTACTAAAAAATGCTTGCTGAGTAAATTAATAAATACATGAATGGCTAATAGGTGCTCATTAAGTGTTTATTGCTTAGCTAGATGAATGGATGGGTTGACTGATGGATGGAATGGGTTGGGTTGATAGGTGGATGGATAGATGGTTAAATGGTGAAATGGGTGGATATGTAGGTTGGTGCATAGATAGATGAATGGGTAAATAGATGACAGGATGGATGCCCTTGGGTCTGAAAGGATGGGTGGATGAATGGGTGGGTGGATGGATGGGTACATAGAAGGGTGGATGGATAGATGGGGTAGATGGATGGGTGGATGGATGGTGAGTAGATAGGTGGATGGATGAATGAATGGGTGGGTGGGTAGCTAGGTTGGTGTGCAGATGGGTGAATAGAGGGAGAAACGGGTGTGTGAGTTGGTGGGTGGATGAATAAAAGTGGGTTGGTGGTTGGGTGTGTGGGAGCCAGGGCCATTACTTTGTTAGCATGGGGCACTGTGTACAATGCCACTTCTGCTAGACAGATGACAAAAAGTGAGTTAGTCATAAATGCCTGGGCACATGGAGTCTGTAGCCAGAAGGGAAGCCTAAGGTTCTTTGAGCCACCAACTATACCTTAGAAAACCAGACTGATAATGCATCATGAGCACTGAAAGGGGGCTGTGGAACTATTATAAATGTCAGGATGCCTTCTAGCTGCAAGACTGGGGCTTGACAGTTATCTGAAGCACTTGTTTTAATAACTAATTATTTTTCCCCTCTGGACATAGGTCATTGGGAAGGGAGCAGTGAGGTTCACTGGAAGTTGAAGATCTGCACTCCACAATTGAATTCACTAACAAGCCAGAAGTAGGAACCCCTACCTGCCAGGTAGGGAGAAGAACCCCAAAGTCCCAGCCAGGTGTTGCCCTGCTAGGAGCCCCTCTGAGCTGGCTGGGACTTGCAAAGAATCTAGAACATCTGAGCCAAAACTCAGGTGGATATCTAAAGATCTAAAGGTTTGAAAATTATTTGATATTGATAGAAATAAAATGATCAACCATGTTTTTTGTTTTAAAGTAGTTTGACATGAAATATTGAAAATGATGAAAAGCCAGGACCTGCAACCAAGACTACTTTACCCAGCAAGGCTATCATTTAAAATTGAAGGAGAAATAAAGAGCTTCCCAGACAAGAAAAAGCTAAAGGAGTTTGTTACCACCAAACCAGTACTACAAGATATGTTAAAGGGCCTGCAAGAAGAAGAAGGAGGAGAAAGAAGTGAAGGAGGAGGAGAAAAACAACTATAGGGGAACTTAGTTAAAAGAATAACATAGCAATAAATACTTATCAATAATCACTTTAATATAAGTGGCTTAAATCCTCTAATCAACACACATAGGGTAGCTGAATGGATAAGAAAACAAGACCCATATTTTTTCTGTTGACAAGAGACCAACTGGAGAACAAAAGATACACACAGACTAAAAGTAAAAAGATGAAGAAGATTTTTCATGCAAATGGAAATTTTTTTTAAAAGCTGAAGTAGTAATACTTATATCTGACAAAATAGATTTTAAAACAAAAGCTATAGTAACACAAAAAAAGGACACTACATAGTGATAAAGGGAGCAATTCAACGAGAGAACATAACCCTCGTAAACATTCATGTGCTCAACAGAGGAGCACCGAAATATGTAAAGCAAATCTTGATGTACATAAAGGGAGAGTGACAGTAATACAATCATAGTAGAGGATTTTAACATTCCATTGACATCAATGGATAGATCTTCCAGAGGAAAAATTAATAAGGGAATGGTGGGAGATTAAAAATGGTGGCGGAAAGAGTGCTGCACAGACATGCCTCAGGACCAAACTGGAATTACAACTAAAATACAGAAAAACTTCCTGAATAATTAACTGAAGACTCACCTGAGAGAACCCTGATAACTGAGGACGAAAAGTGGAGACTGCATAGAGATTGGTAGGAGGGGTGGAGGCATGAAAAGGCTGGCCAGGCTCCCACAGACAGCAACTGAAGTTCTGGAGAGATACTGTTAGGGGCAAAAATAGAATATTGGGGACTAATTATGATTAAAAGAAATATTAATCATGTCTGTTAACCATGATTTCCTTGTTCTGATTAAAGAAAGGACACTTTAACTTGGCTGGAAGTTGCATGCCCTGGGACCTGGGAATCAGTCTTGGAATGTGGTCCATTCTCATTCAAGAACCGCCTATGGAAAGATTAACAACCTTGTTGCCCAAACAATGGAGTCCCACCCCAGCCTTCATTGCCTACTTCCCCACGCCAGTAATCCCTCCTTCCCCATGCCAGTAATCCCTCCTTCCCCATATCTATAATCCCTACTTCCCCATATCTATAATCCCTCCTTCCCCGTGCCAGTAATCCCTCCTTCCCCATATCTATAATCCCTACTTCCCCATGCCAGTAATCCCTCCTTCCCCATATCTATAATCCCTACTTCCCCATGCCAGTAATCCCTCCTTCCCCATATCTATAATCCCTCCTTCCCCATGCCAGTAATCCCTCCTTCCCCATATCTATAATCCCTACTTCCCCATGCCAGTAATCCCTCCTTCCCCATATCTATAATCCCTCCTTCCCCATGCCAGTAATCCCTCCTTCCCCATATCTATAATCCCTCCTTCCCCATGCCAGTAATCCCTCCTTCCCCATATCTATAATCCCTACTTCCCCATGCCAGTAATCCCTCCTTCCCCATATCTATAATCCCTACTTCCCCATGCCAGTAATCCCTCCTTCCCCATATCTATAATCCCTACTTCCCCATGCCAGTAATCCCTCCTTCCCCATATCTATAATCCCTACTTCCCCATGTAATTTTTGACTTTCCCTATATGAACAACTGACTTATGGAGGGTGGGCTGCAGAGCAGACTTTTGTGGATGACCTGCTGCACTCCCATACTGCTGGCAGTATTGGAATAAATGCTCATATATGATTCAACCCTGTCTCTGCTTAATTGGCTTAAGTAGTGACAGGCAGCATAGACCCATTGATTGTCTGGTTACAATATCTCAGCTGTCGGGGGTTGCCATTGAGAACTCTGGGGTCTAATCCCCAAGCTGGGCTGCCCAGCAGAGAGCACCAGAACTGAGAAGGGTAGCAATACCCATATAACATCTGGCTGTGAAAAGCAATGGAGTTGCTGTCTGCCAGGGAGAGACAGCTGAAAATGCAGGCACCCTCTTAAAAGGCCAACACACAAAATTCCCTGTGTAGCCACTCACCTTCGGCTCCGGCAGAGGGAGGGCAGAGTGGACTGGAGGTGTAGGAGCAGGAGCCAGGGTTGGGGTCTCTTGGGTTAAAGCTCAGAAGGTAAACATCTTGGTTTCCTGTGCTGAGTCATTCCCTCAAACTGCCAAGGTCATCTTTATCACACAGACAATTGCTATCTAGGTTGTTTTCCCAGCGGGGGGGGGGGGGGGGGGAGAGTTGACCCACCCTACTGGAAAACACCTTGCCTCCCAGTGCAAAATTTCTGAGGCCCATTAAGAGACTGAGAATAACAATTAGCCTCCAGGCAGAAGCAATTGCCCCACCCTGTTGGGAAAAATTCTTGCCACACCTGTGGGTGATTGCCTAAGGGTAATTCAAGAGTACATCCAATCAGTCTGAAAGCAGAGGCGGTCACTGGAGGCTTTGAGTCTTTGCCTGATATAATTAGTCAGAAACAGCATTTGATATTGTCCTACACCAGAGATTGAGAGGTGTAGCAGGTCTACCTAAAACATAGTCACAAACCCAAATAGGCACCCAAAATGAGGAGACAAATAAGCAACCCCAACATGAAAGAATAAGAGAATTCTCCAGAAAAAAAGATAAATGAAATGGAGATAATAAATTTACCAGATATAGAGTTCAGAATAATGATACTAAAGATGCGCAACAGCATGAGAAAAGATATAGTAACTATGAAAACAGAAATAAAGAATGACATAGCACAAATAAAGAGCACATTAGAATGAATACACAGAAGATTAGGGGAAGCTGAAGATCAGATCAGTGAATTAGAAGACAGGGTAGAAAAAAGAACTCAATCAGAGACCCAAAAAGAAAAAGAAAAAACAATTACAAAACAGGAGGACAGCTTCAGGGAGCTGTGGGACAACATGAGATGTAACAATATTAGAATAGCAGCTGTGCCAGAAAAGGCAGAAAGGGAGAAAGGGGTAGAGAATATGTTTGAAGAAATAATGGCAGAAAACTTCCTTAACCGGGTGAAGGAAAAAGTCACAAAAATTCAAGAGGCACAGAGAGTCCCATGCAAGAAGATCCCAAACAGGCCAATGCTCAGACACATCATAATTAAAATGCCAAAAATTTAAGACAAAGAGAGAATCTTTTTTTGTGTGTGATTAATCACTATGTTTAATTATGTTCAATTTGTAACAAGGAAATTGGGGGTCACCACAACATGAGGAACTTTATTAAAGGGTCGCAGCATTAGGAAAGTTGAGATCATTGGTAAAAGGTTTATTTCTACCTCAATTGCTGGCTGTTACCCAGCCTAGGCGGGATTGGGCAGGAGGCAACCAACTGATGTGTTTCTCTCATATGGATTATTTCTGTCTTTCCCTCTCTCCCCCACTCTCTCTAAACATCAATGGGAAAATATCCTCAGGTGAGGATTAAAAAAACAAACAAAGGTGGGTAATCTGGTCAGAAGGACAAATCTTCAAAGTGCATGCAAGCTGCTCCTCCCAGGGGGTCAGGACTGAATGTTCTGGAGCATCTCCAGGAAGGCCTGCGGGGATGGTGCCTCCACATTCTGGAAGGTGTCCTGGACTCTGCCATACCGGAAGAAGTATTTCTCCTCCAGCCAGAGGAACCCGAAGTGGTTCTCATTGAACAGGATGAAGACCCCAGGGCAGCGCCTGGTGTAGGCGAAGCCATGTAAGGTAACAATGTGCACGCCATAGAAACACATCCTGCAGGTTCGGGGGTAGTTCTGGTGTATTGAGCGCACACCCACAGGCAGAACAAACGGGACAGGCTGCTCCTCCGAAGCTGCAGCCCCGGACTCCCCGACGCTGGGCTGGGCAGGGCTCTGCCAGCCATGGCCCTCGCTTTCCTCAGTCCTGTCTTCTTGCTGCTGCTCCCGGATCACCTGCTCGTCAATCTCCTGGACCACGCGGGAGAGCTCGTTGAAGTTGCCGAAGAATGCGCCATCTGGCAGCTGGATGCCCCGCATGAGGTGGATCTCTAATGTCCCGATGGAGTCTCCCGTGATCTTCGTGACCCTGGCATGCTTCCCATGGAAGCTGAGCATGGCAATCGTTAGGCCGTAGGGATCATATTTGCCTTGGAAGAGGCCTGGCCTAATGAGGTCGTCCGGGTGGCTTGGCGGGAAGTAGAGGCAGCTGTAGGTCAGGCAGTCATACTGATGTCTGTCCTGCACCAGCACCCACCCCTGTCCTCCCCTAAGTCGTGTTGGTAAATTCGTTTGGTGGTCTCTCTTGATCCACTGGATGCTGAGCCTGTCCTTCTGAATCTGCATGTGGCGGCTGTGGGAAAAGCTGTAGAAGTCGTCCATGTACTCCACTGTGGCTGATTTCCTCTCCATCAGGCTAATTCTGAACGAGGGCTTGAACTGCATTGGGCCATCCACATGGGTGTTATGGGAAGGTCCATACGTCCAACCAGTAATGCATAAGCCGTCCACTACGACATTCAGCAGTGTTCTATAGCTATTATCTAGCTGCCACATCCCAAAATGTGTCTGTATGGGTGGAACAGCTTTGCATAGACTTCTCGATAAGACATACCGAACATCTCCAGGTTCTGCAAGTTTTCACGAACCCCAAACTCCTTGCGACAGCACAGTCTCCAGATGCTGTTGATGTGCCGGATGTGGTGGAATTTGGTGCAGGCCTGGCCAGGCTGGGCAGATCGGTGCCAGGGAGGAGGCGAATATCTCCACGGGCAGGTCCTGCAGGGAGCAGTGCAGGGACGGCGAGGGCGGCATGGGGCTCTGGATTCCTCCACTCCCCGCACAGCATGGCGCTGCCTTGTCCACCTTAAGGTGCTTTTCTGCCAGGGCCAGGGCCGGAGCCGGCTTGCCCTCAGCCGCTGCCCTCTCAGCTGGGCCTTGGCACTGCTGAAGACATCGACATCCCTGCTAAGAGCCCCCGCTGCAGAGGCAAGTGCATTCCTCCATGCCTCCATGTGTAACAGCCACCACAGTCCAAAGAGAGAATCTTAAAGGCAGCAAGGGAAAAGCAAACTGTTACCTAGAAAGGAACTCCCATAAGACTGACACCTGATTTCTCATCAGAAATTCTACAGACTGAAAGGGAATGGCATGAAGTACTCAAGGTGATGGAAAGCAGGGATCTGAAACCAAGATTACTATATCCAGGAAGGCTATCATTCAAACTAGATGGTCAAATAAAGAGCTTCCAGGCAAAAGAAGGCTTTCGTCACCACCAAGACAGCATTATAAGAAATGCTAAAGGTTCTGCTGAAATGAGAAGAAGAAATGTAGGGAGAAACTTAGGCATACAGAATTAAAATGGCAATAAATAAGTACGTATCAATAATAACCTTAAATGTAAATCAACTAAATACTCCAATAAAAAGGCATAAGGTAGCTGAATGGATATGAAAACATGACTTAAATATATGCTGTCTACAAGAGACCCACCTCACAACAAAAATCTCACACAGGTTGAGAGTGAAGGGATGGAAAAAAATATTTCATGCAAATGGAAATGATAAAAATGTTGGAGTAGCAATACTCATATCTGACAAAGGGTTAATATCAAAATGAAGGCCATCACAAAAGACAACAAAGGTCACTACATAATACTAAAGGGACTGATCCAACAAAAGGATATAACTCTGGTAAATATATGTGCACCCAATATAGGAGCACCTAAACATATTTAAAAAACTTATAGAGGACTTTAAGGGAGAGATAGATAACAATGCAGTCATAGTAGGGGGCTGTAACACCTGCAGCCTTCACTGGATAGATCTTCTAGACAAAAAATTACCAAGGAAACAGTGACTCTAAAGGACATACTGAAGCATATGGATTTAATTGACATTTATAGAACATTGCACCCCAAAACTGCAGAATATACATTCTTCTCAAGTTCACATGGGTCATTCTCAAAGATAGACCACATGTTAGGACACAAAACAAGTCTCTGCAAGTTAAAAAAGATTGAAATCATACCAAGCATCTTCTCAAATCACAGTGGAATGAAATTAGAAATCAACTACAGTAAAAACACCCCAAAACATTCAAACACATGGAAGCTAAATAATATGTTATTAAGGAATGAATGGGTTACCAACGAGATTAAGAAAGAAATCAAAAACTTCCTGGAAACAAATGAAAATGAACACACAACAACTCAAAATCTCTGGGATATAGCAAAAACAATCCTGAGAGGGACGTTCATAGCACTACAGGCCTACCTCAAAAAACAAGAAAAATTAATAATAAACTATTTAACCCTACAATTTAAAGAACTAGAGAGAAAACAAAAAGAAAAGCCCAGAGTAAGTAGAAGGAAGAAAACAATAAAGATTAGAGCAGAAATAAATGACATAGAGTCTAAGAAAACAATACAAAAAGTTAGTGAAACAAACAGCTGGTTCTTTGAAAGGATAAACAACATTGATGAACCGTTAGCCAGACCCATCAAGAAACAAAGAGAGAGAACTCAAATAAATAAAATCATAAATGAAAGTGGAGCAGTAACCACTGATACCACATTAATACAAAGGATTGTAAGAAAATACTATAAACAACTATATGCCAACAAGCCAGACAATGTGGATGAAATAGACAAATTCCTAGAAAAATACAATCTCCCAAAAGTGAATCAGGAAGAATCATAAAACCTGAGTAGCCTAGTAATTACTGATGAAATAGAAGCAGTAATCAAAAAACTGCCAAGAAACAAAAGTCCTGGCCTGGATGGCTTCACAGGGGAGTTTTACCAAACATTCCAAGAAAAACCAACACCTCTACTCCTCAAACTACTTCAGAAAATCCAAGAGGAAGGGACATTTTCAAGTTCTTTTTATGAGGCCAGCATTATCCTAATTCCGAAACCAGATAAAGACACTATAAAGAAAGAGAATTACAGGCCAATATCCCTGATGAACATAGATGCTAAAATCTTCAACCAAATATTAGCAAACCGTATCCAGCAACATAATAGAAAGATCATACACCATACCAAGTGCAGGCTGGTACAATATTCACAAATCAATAAATGTAATATATATCACATAAACAAATTGAAAGACAGAAATCACATGATCATATCAATAGATGCAGAAAAAGCATTTGACAAAATCCAGCAACCATTTTTGATAAAAACTCTCAGTAAGTAAGAATAAAGGGAGCATATCTCAACATGATAAAGGCCATATACTAATATGACAAACCTACAGCAAACATCATACTCATTGGGCAAAAACTAAAACCATGTCCCCCAAGAACAAGAATAAGACGGGATGTCTGCTTTCACCAATGTTATTCAACACTACAGGCCTGGTGCACGGATTTGTCCTCTTGCAAACTGGGACTCCTCAGGGGATGTCAGAGAGCCAGTTTCCGCCTGACTCCCACAGGCCAGGCCAAGGGACCCCAACGGTGCAGGAATCCATGCACTGGGCCTCTAGTCCTATATAATAAAAGTCCTATATAATAAAAGCCTAATATGCAAGTCAACTGAATGGCAGAACGATGGGCAGAATGACCGGTCGCTATAATGAGCACTGACCACCAGGGGCAGATGCTCAATGCAGAAGCTTCCCCCTGGTGGTCAGTGTGCTCCCACAGGGTGTGTGCCACTCAGCCAGAAGTCAGGCTCATGGCTGGCAAGCACAGCGGCGATGGTGGGAGCCTCTCCTGCTTCCGTGGCAGCGGCAGCACTAAGGAGCAGTGAGCTGAGCAGTAAGGAGGCGCAAACAGGCGGGTGGTAAGGAGCGAGGGGGTCCCGGACTGCAAGAGAGTGCAGGCTGGGCTGAGGGACATCACCCCCTGCCCAGTGCATGAATTTTGTGCACCGGACCTCTAGTATGCATACAAGATTTTTGGTTAATCTATTCCTGTCTCCCTCCCCCTTCCCTTTGAGATTTATCAGTCTGTTCTACGTTTCCATGCCTGTAGTTTATGCTCCTGCATTGAGTGTCTGCCCACTGGTGGTCAGTGTGTGTCATAGTTACCAACCAGTCAGCCAGTTGGTCGGTCGCTTAGGCTTTTATATATATAGACTAGAGGCCCAATCCATGAAAATTCTTGCAAGAGTAGGCCTTCCTTTCCCTGGCTGCTGGCACCGGCTTCCCTCTGGCACCAGGGACCTGGGCTTCCCTCCTCTAGCTACTGGCAAGCACCCGGGACCCGGGCTGTTTCCCTCCTCTGGCTACCCACAGGCACCCAGGACCCGGGCTGGCTTCCCTCTGCCCCGGCTTCATCAGGAAGGACATCCAGAATGACATCCAGAAGATGTCTGGTCTAATTAGCATATTACCCTTTTATTATTATAGATAGTACTGGAAGTCCTAGCCACAGTGATCAGACAAGAAGAAGAAATAAAAGACTTACAAATTCAAAAGGAGGAAGTAAAACTCTGATTATTCACAGATGACATGATATTGTACATAGAAAACCCTAAAGAATCCACCAAAAAACTACTAGATTTAATAAATGAATTTGGCAATGTAGCAGGATACAAAATAAACACCCAAAAAAATTGCTGGCTTTTTTATACACCAATAATGAATTCTCAGAAAGAGAAACTAAACAAATAATCCCATTTACCATTGCAACAAAAACATTAAGATACTTAGGAATGAACTTAACCAAGGAGGCAAAAGACCTGTACTCAGAAAACTACAGGACGTTGAAAAAAGAGATAGAAGAACATATAAACAAGTGGAAGAATATACCATATTCATGGATTAGTAGAATAAACATAATTAAAATGTCAATACTACCCAAGGCAATCTACAGATTCAATGCAATCCCCATTAAGATACCAGTGGCATATTTCACAGACCTAGAATGAACTCTCCAAAAATTTATATGGAACTAGAAAAGACCCCAAATAACCATAGCAATCTTGAGAAAGAAGAATGAAGTTGGTGGAATCACAATACCAGATTTCAAGTTATCCTACAAAGCCACCTGGTACTGACACAAGAACAGGCATATAGTTCAATGGAATAGAATAGAGGCCCCAGAAATCGACCCAAGCCATTGCACTCAATTAATATTTGACAAGGGAGGCAAAAGAATACAATGGAGTCAGGACAGTCTCTTTAATAAATGGTGTTGCAAAAATTGGACAGATACATGCAAAAAATGAAACTAGACCACCAACTTACACCATACACAGAATAAACTCAAAATGGATAAAAGACTTAAATGTAAGTCATGAAACCATAAAAACCCTAGAAGAAACCATAGGCAGCAACATCTCAGACATCTCTCGTAGCAATAGGTTTGCAGATAATCTCCTAGGGCAGTGGTTGGCAAACTCATTAGTCAACAGAGCCAAATATCAACAGTACAATGATTGAAATTTCTTTTGAGGGCCAAATTTTTTTAAACTTAAGCTACATAGGTAGGTA